CAATAGTAAATCATACAAATTGATATGGCGACACACAAAAAAAAGGAGAATTCAATGCATATGTATTCAGTGCCTGTTAAGGCGTGCTTTTGGAAAATTCGTAATCGATTTTCCTGTCATTTCAGTCGGGCATGCGTGAAGTTATTTTTGTCCTTGAATGCAAATCAACATGTCCAAATGTCATATTTGCCCTCATATGTGCAATATGTGTGCTGGAAAGTTTGAAACATATTTGACCATTCAAAATCTAAGCAATTAATGCATACATTATGCTATCCCACCAAACACGTTGTGACTTCACATGTAGCATTTTAGACGTAAAATTTTGCAACAATATTCATTTGAGACGTGAATAAGAAATTTTGCTGAAATATTTTGCGATCTTCTCATGATAGCACATGCATTGCACATAAGGACATTGATTTCTTGTCGAAAAAACATCATGTGACCAATCTCAATCTAATTTCGAATCAAAAATAAATGTCAATGTTGTTGTGCCAAGTAATCTCTAAACATATTCCACTCATTTCGTTGTGTTTTCGGTGCATACATTTCAGCTGCAACTTCGTCACGTTCGTCTGGGAGCTCCACCTCTGTTGCATCGAGGTCCATCTCCGCTCTCGTAAATGTTTCGTCGACCACTCCCGCTCATCTAAGGAAGTTGTGAACACCTATAGTTACAATTACAACAGTTGTTTGCACTTTAAAATTATAACTCCGCATATGATTTTTCAACGACTTTTCCAATTTCCGAACGTATGTTCGATTACGTCCTACACGACGAGTTCTTGAAATTAAAATTTTTCCATGTATTTCGAAAGTTAAGCCTCCGATCGGTGACCCCGTCGTAAAATTGTTGAAAATGTTACAATATATTTGAACCGTTATAGAGCGCCATATACCAAGTCGATGCGCGAACCCCAAATCAACTAGATAATATTTTCCAGGTGCCGGTTACAGAAAGTCAATCTTGAGGTCATGTATAGCCCTAGCCAAGATTCTAGCATTATGAGAGTTCCCCGTTGTACTAGCAAGCACAAATGTGAAACACAAATTGAAATCACATGCCGCTAGCACATTATGTGTCGGAATTCCCTTCCGTCCGATAAAACTCACTCACTGGTCCCGCGGGAGGACGACTCTAACGTGGGTGTCGTCATAGTACCTATGCAATCCCCGTAATATGAAATACTTGTTAAGATTCGGAACGTGATGCTCAACACCATGATTGTAGTTTGGATCCGATTTAATTACTTGCTTAGAGAGCTCGATGATCGCTTCAAGCACAAGTTTGAAGTAGTGTCTCATGGTTTCGAGTGAATGGTTGAAAGCGTCTACACTTGTCTATAGCCTTTTCTGTTGACATATGGTCAAACTGTATGTTTTGATTATAACAAACAAATTATGTATATCTCTGACTTATTCTTTAAATTGATTACATGTTGGAAAATTGAGTCAAACCATTGAACAAGAAGTTGTCCATCAAGGAAGCTCAAACGAAGATTGATCTACTCATGAAGACAAGCTTTACGTATCAAGCAACAAATCAAGCATTTGCGCCAAAATTAATCGAAAACTTTATAACTAGATTTCTCTTGGCCTGGTTGTAAAGGTAAAGCACTTTAATTCTTGGCAAATGATACTTTGCAAACTCAAGTAATGGTTTTCTCGTGCGCGACAAAACTTCATGAAAATGATTGCACAAAATCATTTTTCAAAAGAAAGTTTTTTCAAACCCATTTTTTGAAAATTATCAAATCTAACTTATTTTGAAAAACCGAGTAAAAACATCATTATTGATTACAAAAAAACCAAAAATTGACCCAAACCACCTCGGTCATCCGGATGTCCGGATGGCGAACCGGACGTCCGGTTGGCCAGCACGGTCAATTTTTTGACCGTTTTGACAGGGTTCTTTAACGACTAGTTTGGGTCGTCTGGTTCTGAACCGGACGTTCATTCAGTTTGGTAGAGATTTTGGCGTATTTCAACTGCTATAAATACCAACTCACCTACCATTTGAAAAATAACTTTTTGAGCATTCAATTGATATTCCTTTGATCTAACATTGTATTATCATTATCAAATCATTTTGTTCTTGAAACATATTTGATCAAAGTTAATTCTTGAAAAAAAATTTATACATCAAAGATTTACACACAAAACACTTGAGATTCGTTCATTGACATCCACTAAAGTGTTTGCCTACTTCTCTTCTTATACTTAACCTTGTATTAATTTTTCACAAGGAAGAGAAGATTTCACTTGTAAACTCATCTTGAAATTGTGGGTCGTGTAGAGATCCCGTAAAGTTCAACATTGTATAAGGATCGGTGCTCTTTATTTGTAAGTCAACGAAAACGTTGTAAAGGGTTGGATTACACCATAAGTCAATCAACATAGTGAAAAGGCATTGCTCATGTCGGAGAGTTTGGTAACGGGGGACGTAGATCGTGTTTGGAATCGAACTTCCATAACAACATCGTTTGCACTCTATCCCTTTTACTTAACGCTTTTACTTCTTGCAAATTACGTTTGTTCCACCTTCTCGCTTATTTGTGTTGTCTTCAACTATTTGCTTGCTTATTACATTATAGTTGAGTTTTTATAATAAATTTACCCCCCTCTTGGTTAGTCAATTTTGGGCTTTCATTTTCCATGCGCTTATACCAACTTGTGCATACACATCTATATGTTTCTAACTGCGAAGTCCGTAATCATCTCGAAGCATATGCGCGAACGATCACATCATCGCAAGATACATGAGGAACTTTGCGTAGCATTGTTGAGGCCTACAGTTCATAGCATCCAGCATGAACATATGACCGTTTCGAGCGAACGGATATCGAGAAACATGACGTCTTTTGCGATAATAGTTACTTAGAGTAATCTCACTGATGTGACGTATCGAAACCACTCGATAATATGCATCCGTAGCTCTTCCATAAATGCCTCGTCATCAAGTTCATCCTCGGCATCAGAGGTTGGCTGCAACGCACAGTTGATATCGAAATGTGCCATACCACCACTTTGTAATAGGAGATCCAAGACTATGCTTTTGTAAGTATGTAAAAATATGTAGATATGCGTTGCCTTTTATAGGCAAATGGAATGACAAGTGCTTTGAAGTTCTGCCCGTAAACACCAATAAACTATAGTGAAAGATGTGAGTGATGTGACACGTACTTTGTTGTTGAGTACTTATTTGACCGAAATAAAAACATACATCCAACTGCAGCTTTTGTCTGCAAGCTTGCTCAAAATCCATGCGAATCAAAATTTTTGCCATGCACATAAACAATAGTGTTTAGCATGCACATGACAAATGTAGGCAACAGTCCATCATACATATCGAACACGAAGAAAATGTTTTAACATCAAACGTAATAAATGTAAACATAACCAAATACGACCACAGTAATAAAAACGTGAAACAGATGTCCACGAAACCTACTCAAACATAGCTGTCATCGAGGCTGTACTTTCCTATATTCCTACTAGCTCGGCTCCACTCCACTCCACCCACTCGAACTTTTCGTTCGCATCGTCTTATATATCCAATATCTCCCCATTACGTTTTTGGGAGAAGAAGGTAGTAGTAGTAGTAGTAGTAGTAGTAGTAGTAATAATAATAATAATAATAATAATAATAATAATAATAATAAGCTGAAAGTTGTATATTGATACACATTATAGATAAGAGTTCAAGAATTATAGCACAATCGCTTGATTCATTGGTCCTTCCTTCTATAAGTCGGCACCATACTACATCTATTTAACCTGCACACGACAAATATAAATGCAATAAAAACAAGAATAAATTAAAATTTGAGGTTTTTAACATGATTTTTTTTACCACTTCGTTGGATTAATCAGTATATTTATCGGAAACACACAATCAAATTAAATCTTTTAGTTACACAGAAGTATATTGACTCTATTTCTATTCTTACCAACATCGGCCTTAATCTCAGATAAAGTAAAGGATGGTCATAAGCTCTCGTATGACATAAATTTACAGCTGCAAGTTTAATAATTTTATTGCTCACAAGGCAAGTATAGGATCAAATAAATGCACTCAGTGACTCTTACGGAAATAAACAACAAAGTGGAACAAATAGCCTGTCCTTCCCTTCCTTTCACGTGCGACGCTGCCATCATACCTCCCACAATGGCCGACCACACCACGTTACACCGTCTTTTGGTACTTTATATTTACCTTTACCTTTTTGCTCTTATATTATAGTATTGTCATATTCATCTTATCAAATATGTCAAACATGTTTCCCGTTCCAGATTGTAGCCGAATTCTGTTTATTTTGTTTTCCAATTGTGGATTGTAGAGAATCAAGTAACATTTATCTACTTTTTTTAATTTTATCCCGTTTGGACTTCATTTTAATCAAATTTTGAAAAAAAATCTATTTTAAATAGTAATTTTTTAGAGAATTTTTGTGATTAAAATGAGTTTTCAGAAAATGTATTTTTCGTTTCAATGGAGTCCAAACAAGGCCTTACTATAGTCTAAAACAACGTACTTAATGATAAGTAAATCTTTACTGACAGAAGATCAAACTTTATGGGCTTGAATTTCTCTATAATTTCCATTATTGAGTCAATAAATTCAAATATTTTATTTACTAGAGTTATCCATCAAATCATCACATTTCAATTTACTCTAGTATATACCCAGTTGTTGACCCCCCTCCTATTTGAACCCGGGACGACTCGGTGGTAACTCTCCACAGACTTGCCATCTCCACTATATTCTACGGAGCAGATAGATATGACTCAGATCAATATTGAGTAACTCAGTTCTCCCCTCATCGAAAAGATAAAAGAGTGAAAAGTGAAAGTAATTCCCCAACTCAATGATTTACCAAAAACCCACCTCGATACACTCAATTGAGACTGAGAATGTTAAGAGTTAATAGTTTGCCAATGTTCATGGCGAAAGCGAACTAACTCGGACGAGTCAACCCAGGTCAATCGTTCGTTAATTACCAGTCAGAAACTCCATGTAGAAGCGGCCGTGACTCAGCCCAAAATTCGATATTATTCCGCATTTCTACGTGGCAGTATCTGTGAAAATCCTCCAAACTCGTAAATCGGGCGATTCGTGTCGAGTCGTTCTTGCCGGACTCCGTGCGGGCCAAGTAACGGAGAACATCTTCAAACAGTGACTCATCGCAAGGAATAGCCAGAGGTCCCGTGTTGGTGAACCCGTACTCTTCCTCGGCCCGGACCAGTAGTTTCTTGAAAAGGGGATGGTTCAGGTACGTTGCGCGGACTACAAATCTTTTACAACTGGTGCCGACCGTGACTGCCACGTGCCCGGCCGGCACGTCAGAAGGTATACAGCGGGAGGTGGCGGCGGCAGCCTTCTTCCTCCACCGCCGTAACATTTGGTGGAGCCGTACAATTTGGCGGATTTTTCTGCATGCAGACATTTTTTTTTTGTGTTTTTTACGAGGAAATTTTAAGGAGAATATGGTTTAACGAGGCTGTTAGGGAGGGGTTTGATTCTGCAGCTTGGCTTGGATTATATAATGTTGGAGGTACGAAAATGCCCTTGGATTTTGTCAAAATCACAATACAGATACTGTTGTTTTTGTAGATTATTAAAATGCCTATGATTGGATAAAGAAAAATGCAAGTTTACAGTGGATAGATATGGAAGATCTAAGGCTCTGTTTCCATTTTCCAACTTTTTGTAACGTTTGATAAGCAAAAATTTTTTGAGAAAATATTTTTCATTTTTCGAAATTTTTTACATTTTTGAAGAAAACAAATTCTTGATGTTTTGGTTGGTAAATATTTTCCAAGTTTTTTTTTTTTGCAATTGGAAAAAATTCTAGACACAATGGTAAAAAAAAAATTAACTTTTATTGACAATTTTCATATTTTTTAAAGAAATGAAAAAAATGGGGTACATATTGATAATTTTTTTTAATATTAAAGTAATTCATAAGCATATCACGAGCGTGCATCATATGCATGAGGTTTGTCTACCGAGCATTAGCTAATTCCATGTTATCTCTCCCCATTTTTAGACGATGAAGGGAAGATGATACGAAATGACAACTTGTGGTGACACGAACTCAGTACTGTCACATGTAAATATTGAATTCGTTTTGTAAATAAAGTAAACATTCAATTTAATTGTCATATATTTTATTATTGTGCGGATTACTTTCATAAATGTAGTAGATGATGTTTATTATGTTAAAAAAAATTAATTATTTTCCACAAACGATAATATTTTCAAATCTAAGTATCTAGATTTGGAGGCGTTACAACCACTATCTCACCATTGTAACCAGCATTATCACAACCTATATCGTTGCCGCCAGCACCACAACCACTACCTATGCCATCATCGCCACTAATAATTAAAATCATCCCAAAATTCTAGTTAAGCAACAGATCGAATGAGAAAAAACTACCCCAAAAAACGCATCCAAAACATTGCCGCATTGTAGCAACGACTATAGTGCACAGGCCGTTGCTGCATCGTTGACTGTTTGGCCACCGTTTGACCTCCATTATTCCTCATTAAATTTTAATTCATTTTTCCTTCTCTTTTTATTAATCTCACATTTTTTAATAAAATAATATTACATATAAACCAAAAATGTTTCCTTCATTTTTAACCACATATCCTCCATCAATCTACTATTCAATAATACATTCTTTCAAAAGAATGTATCCCAAACACACCCTTAATAATAAAATACCAGTCGATTCCAAATGCTCACTTAAAATAATTGGCTCCTAAGTAATTCCATTTTATGTCTATCCATTTGACCTTAATAATTTTAGACAAGAAAGAAAAATGAAACAAATTATTTTATACAAATTTTTTAGAGGAATTTTTAGGTTTTTAAACTATTTTGATTATAACGGTCTCTGAAATTTAGTTGACAATATGGTCTTTAAAAGAGTAAATAGGCACGTCAACCTACGTACTTTGTGTTTTAAGTTTTAGCATTTCAATTTCAAATTCATGATAAATAGATTCAAAATATAATGCACCTAAGGGGAGCCTTCGCATTCAGCCTTCATATACCAACTACAGCGGATCGTAGTCAATGTGAACATCAAGCTGAGTAAATTGAAGAAATGTTCCCGAGTGACGTCGGTATCTCCATGAAAGCCAATAAAAGACAGACGTTTGTCACCTTTGACGTCAGCAATGACATGCTGACCAATTAGGAGGAAGCAATGATTATCTCAGTTATAGGTAATGATGATCTAGACCACTGACCACAGGTTATGGCTTAACTTAAGTCTCGTGATTGTGCCAAACTCCTCAACCAACAAAATATCTTCAAGAAGGAAGGGGACACATAAATCAAGATACGATATTATTGCTTGACGAGATTGGAGACAACGAGCTCCTATTGAAAGACTAACATAGAGGGGAAAGGGTCCTCAATGAGAGGGAGAGTAGAGCATTTTTCTGTATGTACAAATAAACACTTCATAATAAAAATTTCTCATTTCTGTAGAATATTCCAACAATTAACACAATTATTCTACAAATCTTTATTAAATTGATCTATAATTATCATGTCATTTTTAGTCATCAACAAAATCTTTGTACATTTTCCTTAATCAATGAATACGATTTATACAATTTGATTGAAAAATATATGTTTGGCAACCATGGTTATTTGTCAACAAAAGGAGGACTCTAAATGGAAAATTAAAATCTTGAGCTATAAGTCACATGAACTTATGTAAAACAATTATTTTTGAGTCATGATCGTATTTGATATGATGTCCTTACGGCATGTCAAAGAAGGACTAGCTGCAAGGTTTTTTTAAACCAATAGCAAATTAATCGTACATAGTGAGTGGTTGGCTTGTGGGTGTCCTTTTTGGTGCACGAAGTTGAAAAGTCCAAAATTCAAACCCTCCACATGCAAGAGTTAGAGACAAGTAAAATCGATCCACATTGTTCTCTAAAGCTAAATGTGGTTATCTTGGCTTTTTTCATATAAAAGATGCTTTTCTTTCTTCGTTGTACAACAACTACTTAGTTTTCTCCATACCTTACAATGAATAGTTTTCTCCATACTTTACAATGAACCATGTGCAAGATTGTCCCATCTTTCTTTTTCTTCAAAATTCCTTAGCTAGCGGCCAAAAGAGAAACCCCCACCCCAAAACCACTAGCTACTTGTACCCTACGGCTAGGAGTCATTTTTTATAACGGGTGATTTTAACCGTCATTGTATATTGAAATTTCAATCTTACTACACATACATTCTAATTGACATTGTATCATTTGATACACAATTTTACCAGGTAGCGTGTAGCATTTCAAAGCACGATGAAAGCATTGAAAGATCAAGAGAGAAGAAACGGCTAGGTCGTGTCACTTGTCATTGTCACAAAACTATGATCCCTACAAAACTAACAATTATTTATTATTGTTGTATTAAGATTTTAAAAAATATCAAGAATTATTTGTGATTATTTTGGTCAGCAAGATTTTGGTCCAAAATTGATAATGATATTAAGATTTTAAAGGCACTTACTGAAGGGTGAGTAGGAAGCCAAGGGTCCCAAGTAGAGTGCAGTGCATCCCCCTTAACATCAATATTGACACTTAAAAATTGTCCCACTTGCTAAGATTTAAGGATCACAACATTATTTATGAACATTGTTCAATGTTTTGAGCAAATTTATGTCCAACCAAAGTGGAATATAATTTAACCAACATAATCCTATGATATCATCTGAAAATAAGAATAAAATTTTTCGTTTTGTTTCTTTGACATTACAAAAGTATATATATATATATAGTGCATGAATTAATGATTGAACTATTTAGTCAAATTTTCTATTACTCAAATTTGGTTTAATTATAGAATTAGACAACTACTTATGAGAATTGGTTGATTTGAGGTTGTTTATTTATTAAATCAAGTTGAGAGTTCTTGAATTTATGAGCTTGTTTGGGAGGGATTAAAATCAAATTAAAATTGAAAATATAGCCGTTGGAGCTGACTTTTATTAGATGAGTAGGATCCAATAACGGCTATATTTTCAATTTTAATTGGATTTTAATCCGTCCCAAACAAGTTCTATGTAAATTTGATTTTTTAAATAGCATTTAATAACAGAAAAATCTTTAATAGAAGTGAAGAAACTAAGTTTAAAAATACTTAAATTCAAATTATTTGAATATCAGTATAATCTCGTACAAGTTTAAACTAATCGTTTAAGATTCTACAATATAGGTAGATCACCTGCTAAGAAATTGTCATGAGGCGAACATATTGTATGTGCACTGAAGTTTTTTCTAGCCGGATCGTATAAAGAAAGGTGAGCTAATGCATATCTAATTGTGTGAATCATGGGTAGAAGGAGAAATGGTGTGTTTTCACACAAAGTTATCAACACAAGCCTTCCTTATGAACTATTATCTATCTTAAGTTGAATAGAGTTGATTCTTTGTTTCTTGTTTTTGGTATCAAATCATATTTGTTTAAAGTATTTGGCGTGCTATTAAAATTGGACCAAATCAGTCGATTCAAAAGGGAAAAAGTTTAAATCACTGTAATAATTAGAGTAGTTATAGATTAAAATGCATACTCAACTAAGAATAGACACTTCGCCTAAAATCGGCAAATTCTTATTTTTATATATTCAACACAGCTAATTCAACTCTTTATGTTTTAGAGTCAAATATTTTGAAATTTTTGAAGCATTTTCAAACTTTTCACCAACTAATCACAATTTTGGGTATTGTACTTGTAATAAATATGCTAGAGGTCTTATTTCAATAAAAATAAATTAAACAAGTAAAGAAATATGATAGTGGTCACGCCCAATAGAATAACGGAAATTGGAAAGAATAGTCATGACCACGAAAACTTGGTGGGGTCCCCTTCTTTAACTCAAATGAAAGTAGGTCCCACAACATTGATGACATGGCATCAACCACACTTATATAATATAATGTAAAAGTCATAGGAAGGTAGGACCCACGTATGTACTGAACTGACGTGGCACCAATCACATTTATCAGCTGCAATTCGGCGCGTATCTCAAAGAATATCGTTATCAAAAGTCAGGGTCATTAGCTGACGTGGCAATCCATTTGCTCTCTGTTGGAACTTGGACCCATTTAACAGCGACCATCAATCAATGGGCGGGATTTATAATATTTTAATAGCCCAAAAGGGCCCATTTCAGTATACTTCAAGAGAAAATTAAATTGACTAAATTTTTTTAGATCCCAATTCATAATTAAGCGCTTTTAGCCCCTATTATTTCATATTATAACGAGACGAATAATAATTTTTTAAAAAAATATGTAGTTAAAAAAGAAAAAAAATTTAAGTTTATTTGTAATATTATTTTATTGAAAAATACATTATTGATAAAAAGAGAGGAAAAAATGAATTATAATTTAATAGGGAATAATGAGAGTCAA